ACAAACTAGCTAAAAGGCTGAAAAAGTGAGTGGAAGAAAGATTCATTGATTTGTTTTTGTTATCTTCGCCATGTCCTGTCCAACTGAGGAGCTGATAATTTTGGGTAATCGGCAGCCCAACAAAATTCTCTCGGCATATGCTTGTTAATGTTCGAGTTCGAACTTTGTTCCGAGATTGGAAAATAAGGAAGAGGACAATAAACCAGGTAAAAAAATATCTTAAGGTTCTTCCCTGCAGTATTGCGTTTCTTTGCATAAAATTGCCAATAACGCTTCATTATATTGGATTCAACCTAACGGCGTGGTGCCAAAAAATCGTATTGTCATTGTCTTTTTATTAACCCACAACAGCAGCCTATGATTCCTGCCTACAAATTCTACTTCGTTCCACGGGGTTCTTATGACCGCCCAGTTAAACAAGCCTGTATAATCGGTCGAATTTTCACAAGAGAGTACTTATTTAAAAAAACGACAACAAGAAACTTGCCTTAATTATGCTACAGACCGCAAACTAAAGACTATTTGTGTGTTAGACGCCGAGCTATATATGTTTTCGGAAGGTAAACAATATTACTGATATACCTAAAAGTTTTCTAGAAGAATATCCTTGCCTAAGAAAAAGCACTGAGTAGTATTATTCTGAAATCCTACAAATTAAGAAGCGTAGGCCATCCATTACTGTTCCATGACCTTCCATGATATTTATAACACTCTAGTATTAGAGTGGTTTTACTTAGCCCATGAAACAGAAACTACTTGTCAGTGTGTAATATATTCTGCTAATTAGTATTAGTGCATGGTATACAAAAACAAAGACTAGAAAACAAAAGAATTACTAACTATAAGGGGATAGTAGGAATTAACTAATACAAAGTTGTGGTGTGTACAATTCCACTATCTATTTCACGGGTTAAGTAAAACCACTCTAATTTTAAGAACTAGATATACCAACGACACATCAGTATCTACATTATATTTTTTTCCACGAGTTTTTTTTTTTTTCGGTCACGGTCAGCAATCACAAAATTCAATTCCACGCCCAATTCAAATCAGTTGAACATTTAGAGATCCAGCCCGTGTCGGGGCATGTGAGGCAAAGATTGACACTAGAAGGTCCACCGGGATAAAAGGTCTTTTGCTAATACAAATTTTCGAGTCAGTACACCAGGGATAATTTGCGTTTCCTCGTATGCCTTTTTTTATATGGCTGTGCCTCACAAGGACTAGGTACTGGGTACTGGGTACTGGGTACCGAATTCACGAATTGATTGGCTGAAATCGAAATTGAAAGCGGTCTAGATTTTCCCATGTAGACCGGCATTTAGACTGGTAATGTTTTGCAGTGAAAAAGGTGCAAACTAAAATGCAAAAATATTGATTATTTTCTTTTAACAATATCTATTTATGGAAGTGCCAAAAAGCCTGATGGGAAAAAAAAGTAAAGAGGACGAGCAAACTTTGGCAGAATTAAATTCAGCTCATTGCCGTTCACAAGGAAAATGTCTGTTAGTACAAACCAGCTACATTAAACGAATTATTTTTTTTTCTTGTAGCCATATAATAAACATCTTATTAACCGAGCTTAGTCGGTCTGTATGGGAGAATCTTGACCTCGGTTGTGAGTACAGACATCAGTGCGTTCGGTCTGCACTCACGACCTCGGTCAAGATTCTCCCATACAGACCTCCTGCTGGGTTAATAAGCCGAGCTAAATAATAGGCTTCTGTCTCTGGAAATTCACTCTCCGTAGTTCACCCTTAATAAGGAACGAGACGCTTCGTACAACTCCCCTCGAGGACATAACATTTTTCTACGATCGCTCAAAATACAAAATATCCGTAAAACTGATCCAGAAATGACAGTCATTTTCTTGAATACCGTGACTCTAAGAGGTCTTCTAACGTTCCAAGATCGTCGTAAACAATTTTCCAGGTTCACCGTAGCCGACTTTGAAAATTGTACCGTAGAATTCAAAATCAAATCGCCGTTCATCTTAAGAAGAGTGCTGGTTTGGTTTGCTTAAATCACAATTTTGTTTCACAAACGTTAACAAAAATTAGATTGTCATTTTATTAACAACTCGGGTAATCCATACAATTCTATGCGCACCTTTAAAAATTCCTTGGAAATCATTTTCATCAGTGTGGCACAAGATTTTGTTTTTTAAAGGTGAAATGATGAGAGGCGACAAAATAAGTGATTCGAACTATATATATGAGTAATGGATTGCGATGATTTTTCGAACAGGATGTCAAACCAGGGTTACGAGAAGATAACCACTGGCAATGAAGAGGATGGAACAGAATCCTCTCATCCTACAACTTCGGCCAGTTTGCTCTCTCTTCTTTCCTTCTGGTGGATGAATAGTGTCTTTAAAATTGGAAGTAAGCGACCTTTGAGGCAATCGGATTTCCTGCCGCTTCACGAGCAAGACAGGACACGTGACCTAACAGAACGACTTCAGAAGGAATGGAACAACCATGTACAAGAATGCAACATGACTGAGGGAAGACAACCCAAACTTTGGAAATGCGTTTTGAAAACAGTGTCCTTCCACGACATCTGTTTGCCTATGTGTTTTTGGCTCCTGGAATCCATGTTCCGTGTTTCACAGCCACTTGTGCTAGGTGTCCTTCTTCACTTGTTAGACTCCGCTGAGAAGAGCCCCTCCTTAGCATACACGTGCTGCGTCTTCTTAACACTCAGTGGATTGACGTCAGCCTGTACTCATTACTCTGCTTACAGCTGTGACTTACTTGGTATGCGACTCAGTAGTGCTATTAAGGGGATTGTTTATCTCAAGGTAAGAAATGAGTAATACGACTGGAGCCACGTTATTAATATTCGTGGCTTTCTCTAACAGAATTTTACAGGAAATTTCTTTATTCTTGTTACGAGACAGGCTGTGTTCAAACTTGGAGCCCTAGCACTGGTGCCTTAGTCCAACTTCGTTCCCAGGGTCTCTCATATTCCCGCCCTCCCGAAGCGAGAGAGGAGAGACGGTCTGAGAACGAGGTCACTGGGAACGGTCCCTGGAAACGAGGTTGGTCTTGGCCCGGCACAAAATAGTGTTGCGTTCAGACATCGGGTATTCCAAATACACAAGTACCTTGTACTCGCCCACGGGCACTGCACTCAAATACTGGTGTGAGTACTTGGAAAAAAGGTGTGTTGACGTTATTACCCAGAGAGAATCGTACTCAATCACTGTGTTCGGGCATCAAGTGTGAACATAGCCTTGGAGAGGTGCATGGATATATGATAGAGCACGGGACATGCGCTTATATGGCTTCCCGGATTTGGAATGGAAGAGTTTTTCTACAGGCTTGACCTCTTTGACTGTAGCTAATGTTCTTTCCATAAAAAAATAAACATATATATACCTATACCAACTGAATTTTATTAGCACTGCTAAAGAATTCGCCACTTTACAATCCTGGAATACTTTGAAAATGATTTACGCTTTGTATACGTAAACATACTTTAGTTGTAATATATCCTCACGTACGCGCGCAAAGAAAGGTTAAGGGAATTCAGTTTCAGAGCATCTAGCAAACTATTTAAACTGCTTATTGAGTTTGGCATAAAGATCGCCTCTGGTTATTAATAGGTACGGTTGAGAGCTAAATTTCGCTGACCTGAACTATGGAAAGAAAATGCATCTTGAAGGTTGCTGCTACAATAAACCATAGCCCATGATACTCAGAACTACCTTACGTTCATTTATCTCATAGAAAAATCAAACTTGCTTATAAAATTTGCCACCTTCCAAAAAAAACAAAAAAACACATGTAAACTGCAAGATATGTACCAAAAATTCTCTTTCTGATCTTATATTCATGATGACGGTTTTAATTTGTCTTCAGATTCCCCTGATCAGTCAACAACGCCTTCTGGAAACAACAACAGGGAATGTTATTGACCTGATATCAAATGACGTTCAGAGAATGGAACTGGCCCCCAGATGGATATGTACCGCGTTATTGCCAGTTTTCGAGTTTGTAACTGTTGTAATCTTGCTGTTGTACTTCATCGGTTGGCAGACAATAATAGGCATTTTGTTTCTACTGACGGTGATCCCTTGCATCATGGTTATCTCAGGCCTTTGTGCTCAGTTGCGTCTACAGACCGCTGAGGAAACGGACCGACGTATTTCACTCATGAACGAGCTTGTGTCTGGGATCCGTGCTGTTAAAGCGCACGCGTGGGAGAAGAACTACAGAGAAAAAGTGCAAGAAGTGAGAAGGTAAGAGGCAGAGAAGAGATATGACATGACTACACACCCACCCCTCCTCCTCGCCCTCTTTTTATTGGCAACGTTGACCGTCTAACCTCAACACGAGGCTTCAAGACTGATAAGGGGGATGGAGCGGGATCTGTGAGCTTTTAAGCAGTTCATGAAGGCATCGTGGAATACGTTGAATTCAAAATTTACTGTTATTTGGTATTGTGATTATTTTTTATTACTTTCCCTATTCATTTGGTCTAAAGATGTAGTTAGTTGTTTGGTTTAATGCGCTGTTTGATGGCCGTGCAATTAAACAGAAGTGCTCAACGGCAAATTTTTCGAAAAAATTTATTTTTCCTGATCAGTTAGTTATTATTAAAAAGCGTTTGGTACACTTGCCCCATCAGCCAACTCCGGTCTAACTGATGTAGCCAATGTAATATTACACTACTTTTTGTTTTTCCTTATAGGAGTGAAGTTTGGATTATTCTTAAAAAGAGCGTCTTGTTATCGATCATAGAGTGTTTCTCATTCATCTCTGGTCCCACAGCAACCTTCTTCGCAATTTTTGCCCTCATTCTCACCGGCCATGCTATCTCGCCTCCAACAGCCTTCACGGTACTAGCATTTATGAGTGTTCTTCGCTCATCAGTATCTGTCGTTCTAGCCTCAGTTTTTGAGATATTTGTGTCGCTTAAAAGGATTCAGACCTTCCTTCTCTTAGACAATATGCCTCTGGATCCATTGGAATACAGCCAAACATCTCTTGGCCAAGAGCATATTCTCAAAAGCCCAAAAGCGTACCCAAAGGTGTCGGTAAGAGAACCTGTAACGATGGATGCCGTTCCTCCTTGTTCTGTAACACATGGACTGCATAAAGATGTCAAGCAATACGAATTTCAGAGTAAGACTGATTTCTCAGTTTTTAATCTCACGTGTAAGCTGAACGGTAGAGATAGCAAGCATCTCCTTCATGAAGTCAGTTTTGAGGCTTCTGAGAAAAGTCTGACGGTCATTACAGGTCAGGT